GTGTCATGAGTAGTCTAAATATTGAAGAATTTAAAATTGTATTTCTGAGATTTATTATTGAAGGCAAGAGTAAGCAAAATAAGGTTATGATTGGAAGCAACATGGTTCAAATGTTGAACCCTATTAATAAGGAAATAGTTAAAAAAAATAGTGATTGCCAAAGAATCGATTAAATCTCTGAGAAATACATTCTCTTCTCCAAGTATAAGGTGAACCAGTTAGCCCAAATCAAATAGACCAGCTTCAGAAATTTTATCACAGAAATGGTTAATAAGAGGAAAATCACTTTTACCACCACCCCTCCTTTCATCAGGTTTCATGATCATATTAAAATCACCACCCACAAACCAGTTATCATTGGTAGTCTTCCCCATTTGTATAAGTTGATTCCAAAGTAAATTTTTCTCTTGCAACAAGAAGCTAGCATGGACAAAGGTAGCCCATCCATGGTAATCCTCTAAATTATAGGTGATAAGAATGAATAGTTCGTCATCCTCAATGATACTTACATTAAGACTTCGCTTCCAGAAAAGCCAAATCTTGTTATTTTTATTGCAGAAGGAATTATATTGCTTAAATTTCTTGAGAATTCTGTCCATGTTGATAGTAACTATAGTCTCAAAAATAACAAAAAGTGAAGTTTATGGACCCTGCAGAGGTGTTTTAGTCTATTAAGGGAGGAATGGTCCGCCACTCCCCTAATATTCCAAAACATAACATTAAATATGATGCCTCAAGTCAGCCCTCCTAGAAGATCTAAGAGGATTGCCAACTTGATCTCCGTTAGAATAATAAATGCCTTCATGTATGATGTTACTTTTATCTAAATGTAAAAGCTCATTTTTCCTCCTTCTTTTTTTTCTCTGTGATTTTTGAACCAGCCATTCCTGGAGTTGGCAGCTTCTTGGATCCTGTCATGAGAATCAACGTCAGTAGAAAGATCAATTGTACCTGCTAAAACCCCCAAATTAGGGCAATTGGAAATTAATTGCCCCTCCTGCACATCAACAGGTGCAGTAGTATCGAGATTGAATTCCTACAACTCAGGAGCATCATGCAAAACAAAATCAGGTATATTGGTATCAGAAATTAGCAAAGCAGAATTAGGAACAACTTTATTAATGTCAGGTTTTGGTGGATTAGGTTCAATAGATAAGAGACTGTATTTTGGAGATTCAATAGGATCTTGCCCTTATCAGTAGTAGTAGCACCATTATCAATTTTGTCAACTCTAGCTCTCAAATTTGGGTTCAAACGATAGCAATGAGAGGAGGTGTGGCCAAACATACGACAATGGGAACATTAATGAGGATGGTGTTCGAGTTCAACACGTTGTCAATAGCCTTGATGAGGTGAACCTATCCAAATCTCATCACAGAAAGGTTGAGTAATATCACGCTCAACTAAGACTCTAGCTTCAGAGGGTCTGGTGAGGGTAAAAGTGGGGGTGTCTATTTTTAATGGTTTCCCATAAGCAGCGGCAAGAGAAAAAAAAATCATGATTAAAGAGATGAAGTTTTAAACCTGGGAATCAAATCCAGACAGGGATTGTAGGGGGTTCAGTCTTGGGATCAAATTCCACAGTCCATTTCAAAATTTTCATAAATCTGTCGTCAATGCAAATGGTTCTTCTGGCCAAAATACGCATATAGTCTTCATCATTAGAAAGCTTGATAAGAATATGTCTACCATCCAAAAGACCAACCTTCCAAAAACCCTTTAGTTTCATCAGTTCAAATTCCTTTCTAATAATTTCAAGTTTAGGATGACCATATAAGAATTTGTCTACCAGATCAAGTCTACATGAAGAAACAAGTATATCGGTGTCAACATCCGCAAGAAATAAAGCAAATTTACAGTTTTTCTTTCCAATATTCTTGATAAAATTGTATTCTCCACCAACATTCAAGGTTTCATGAAAAGCTTGTGGAAAATGACTTGTTATACCAGAATCGGAAGCCCCTCCGTTAATAACGGCAGCAGCAAAACTTTTAACCCACGACATCACAGCTAAAAAAACAAGGGAGAAGGAAAACAAACTAGAAGAAAGAAGAAAGGATCTCACCCAAGGAAACAGCCAGAAGGAAATCCATGATCGCCAGAGCAAACCCTAGCCATCATCCTCACCTCTATTATTATATTATATATACAACATCATAGAAG